CTTTCTTCCTTCCTTCCCTCCCTCCCTGCCTCTCTTTCTCTTTCTCTCTCTCTCTCTTTTTCTTTCTTTCTTTGTAGTTTGGTTTAAAACTCTAGATTGTTCTTCAACTCTTCTTTAGATAAAGTGGCTAGGTAAAATTTAACTTTATAAATCCATAATAAATATCAGAACACAAGCACTTTTTGGTGAGGAATAAAGAATAAGGCACTTTCTTTTATAATACCCTACAGTACATTTTTTTTTGTCTGGAAGAATTTTTTGATGGTTAATTCTCTTAAGGGATTAAGTTAAATATATCAGAACAGTGACTAAATTTGAATCTTCAGGAAACAACACAATGTATTTGATTTGGAGGGGCTATCAAAGGAGGACCAATTTACTAAAAATAAACTCATATGGCATTTTGGAGACTTTGCCAATTTTCACCTTAATGTGTTTAATAAACTATATGTGGCTGTCAGGGAGAGGAGAATTCACCAGTGCAAGAAGGATGAGGGAGAAGGAACTCTGCAAGGTGCTTTACAATTTTCTGTAAGTTATATTACTTAACATTTTCACAAACTCAGTGTGAAAAATTAGTTTTTTTAAGACAAAATAAAATGAATCAACAAATGAAATTTAGGAATTCTGAGCTTTTGTATTAGTTATATAGTTGCCTTATTTGGTGATAAGCTGTATTTCACTGAAAGTAGCAGGAATAAACATCATTTTGGTCAACCATCCCATCTGATTACTGGGGGCTTGATTTTGAAAGCTGGAGGTAGTGAATTAGTCATATACTGGGAACTGTGAGCTTTCTTCCCCTAAAGGGAGAGCCTAAATATTAAAAAGTGACCAAATGCCTCTGGATTGTTTTTCTTGTGCTTCATTCTAAGTAATATCAATTACATGTCAAGGTGCTTTTTGGTACTGGGCCAGTTATCTTGCTAATCCACCCTTTTCTCACGCTGTGTTCTAGGAGGTCATAGGCATTATTACATTATCTTTGTGGGCATCAGTGAAGAGCTAGGTCCTAAAGCCTCCCAGTTTTCTAAATATTTTATGCAGTACACAGCTTTGTAGATCCACTATATTCAGATGCCAGAAAGTCCTCCTCAACTTTTACAGTGACGAACCTGAGAGGCAATCTGAAAAAAGAAAAGAAAACAATTTTTAGAAATAGATATAATTTGCTCTTATTCTGTGTCTAGACTTCCTCAAGAAAAAACTGCACGTTTAAAGAGTTTTTTTAAAAAGTTATGTACAGATTATTTCACTCAGCCAAAATAGTTTTGTTTTTCTCTCGGTACTCGGAATCGAACTCAGGACCTCGCGCTTGCCGGGCAGGCTCTGTGCGGCTGAGCTAAATCCCCAGCCCCCAAAATAGTTTTTGATCAGTGGTTTGTCTTGAATAATTTTCCTTTTAAAGTGGTAACATTTTATATTTCTGGGAAGTTATCCTAAACTTTTTTTTTCCTCTGGAGAGAGCAATAAGGCTTGGATAACCCAAAACTCCGGTGGGGAAAAAAAATCTAAACTTCATTTAAAGAGAGCTTGACCTCTGGGTCATCCAGTGTGGTATTTCTTTAAATAAGTCAGGTTAACATGTAAATAATATTAAATATAACCAGAAATGTAACAAGAGTATTTAATACTCATCAACTTTATTTCTAAAATATTGCAGTGCATTCAGAACCCTGAATTCCAACCAGATGTACTTCTGGAGTATTACACAGGTCATATATATTTCACTTTTTTGGTTCAAACCCAGGGGATCGACACGATAATTAGATTGAGAACATCTGTACCAAATCCAAACCATTTCCCTGATCCTTCCCCACGGGAGAAATTTTTTTCTTTTTTTAAGCTCCTGAACATTTTATTTGTCTAGCCATCTTTAGGGCAATTCCTAGGTTCTACCTTCCCGCCACCGCACAAATAGGAGGGGAGGGCAGACTGGCCCCCAGTGTAGGCTGGGGAATGATGGTTAGAAGTGGCATTTCGTGGGGACAGTAATGGCTCAAGGTGGCATTGCCTCTTCGCGCCAGGAATCTGGCTCCAGGACAGGGCGTGGCCAGGCACCCGGGCCCGGCGCGCGGGTGGGCACGTGCGCCCGGACCAGAGGAGCCTAGTGTCGGGGCGCCGCTGCCCTCTACCGGGCGGTGCTGTCCGAGCTGCCATCGGTCGTCCGTACGCGCGGGCTCAGGAGCCCCACGCTAAGGCAGCTTTCGGCCACATGAGGTTCGCAGTGCCCAGCCGGGTGCGGGGGCACAGCATGTTGGCCTGTGGCTGGCGACGCGCCCGGGTCAGACGTCCGTGTGCTCCTACCCATCTGCTTCCTGCTTCTCCCAGAGTCAAAGGCTGGGATGGGGACGCAGAGCGATCCCTTTCCGGACCTCAAGAGTTTCTCCTCGATGACGTTGAAGGCCCCTGGCCCCAGTGCAAAACCTGGGGGCACATGTGTTTTCTAAATCTTAGGGAACTTTCATTTCCAGTCCTTTCATTTAGAAATGCTGAAATTCAGTGCAGTGATCAGCGCTAAACCCTCAATCTCAGCCGAAAAGCAATTATTTTTCACTTGAGTTTTTTATTTTGTATTGCATACAGATCTTATTTACATATAGTTTCCAAGATTAAGGAATTTGGGGATTTGTTTTAACCAATTACGCGTTAAATGAAGTGCGAGAGAGTAAAAGTATAGAATTCCTACTGGAAAACTCAAACATGCACGTGTGTGTAATCAATTAAAGATGACAATCACAAAACGGGTGATTTGGTCAGGTTTCTGCAAAGAAGGAAATCAAAAGAGAATTCATTTTTCGGTTTACATTTTAACGTTCCTGTAAACTCGGGGCCACGCTAGCTGTTTCAAGTGAGTGCACCCACGCTTTCCAACTTTCTGCACCCAAAAGAGTAGAAACTGAGATGTCTGAACCGCAAGACGTTTCTTGATTTGTGCAGCAAAAACGGTGCGGGGACACAAAAGTGAGCCACAAGACTTTTACTATCGTGGCCTAAACCGGAGCGGTTTGGGCAAAAGGGGGCCACGGGGACCCCCGCGCCATCGCCGTTGCTGTGCGTTCTGGTGCGACGTGGGGACTGTCGCTGCGGCGGTGTGGGACATGAACGTTCGCCGCAACCTGAGAGAGTTCTTCTCCCCCCAGCTCGACTCCTCGACCATGAAACGCGGTTCCCGGCCGCGGCGCGCCCCGAGTTCCCGCCCTGGTGCAGCGGGATCGGACGGAGGTCGCCCGCGGCCAGTGCGCCTCGCACGTGCATTGCTGCCGTGGGCCTGGGCCGCACGGGGTCTGGGCTCAGGAGTGGTCGCGGGGCCAGAGCGAGCGAAAGGGGAGCTGTCCCTGCGTCCGCCTCACACCCCCCAAGCTGGGGCCCTGAAGGGGCTGCGCTCCACAGCCGCCCGCGACCCCCAAGGGCCAGAGCGCGCCCCAGGTGAGCTGGGCCCGGGGCCTCCGAGGGGACCGGAGCCCTTAGCGCGACCCGTAGCGCCCCCTCGGGGCTGGGCGCGCGGCCGCTGCGATTGGGGCTGGGGGTGCGGACAGGGGCGGGGGTCGAGGGCCCAACGGTCCCAGCGCGCGGAGGGAGCTGGGCCGCGCGCGCGCGCCAGCCCGGCCAGCGGCAGCTGCGCCGGAGGACTCAGACTCCGACTCCGACTCGGGCTCGCCATGGCTGCTGAGGCGACGGCGCCCTGAGGAAGAGTCCGCGTCCGCCGTGGCGGCAGCGGCGGCCGGCTCCAGGCCGGGTTTTGGCGCCGCCCGCCTGCTGCCTCCTGGCGGCTCCTGAACTCCAGCCCCCTCTCTATCAGCCTCTCACTCCGTCTCAATATGTCTCAAGATGGCGGCCAATGTGGGATCGATGTTTCAATATTGGAAGCGCTTTGATTTACAGCAGCTGCAGGTCAGGCTTCTCCGCGCTCGGCCTCGCGCCCGGGGGTGGGGGCTGCGGGCGGTCGCGGCCTCCCCCGGGGACCCCAGGCTGCCCGGACGCCGGGGGGCCGCGGCGGCGGGGAGGAGGGGGTGCCGGGGAGAGCGGGGCCGAGTCGGACACAAGTCCCTGTCGCTCCCTGGGCCCCCATTGATAACTCGCTTGATCAGAAATTGATCCTCTTTGTTCAATTCATCGATCAGCCCAAGATGGCGCCGGGAGCCGTCGCCGCCACCACCGC